ACCTCATGTTAACTTATTAATGAAAGGATACACATTGTTTCAGCATATCTATGCTAAAGAAAAGTCGGGCTTTGAAATGCTGACTTAAAGTTAGAATTCGCCATTCCTTTCGCACCATATGACTCCAACTGAGGTCACCTCGTCGCGAACATGTTAAAATAAAGGATAAAGCTCCTGGCGTTGACCAATCCCTGAGAGATGCGCCATGCACTCGCAGTGGCCTACCGATGAATGAAGCTAGTGCAGATATCCTCCCAAACAGGTCTAGTACCACTTTGTCGACCGCAGAGAGATGGAATTTTTCGTGAGCTTGGGGAGCCGGAACGAATCCATGTGTACTGCAAGGCACCTCTAAGCACTGCGCTACACGCGCCCAACAAGCGTGTTAAAATAGGAATAAATAATAAATAACAAACGATTAGATTACCTCTTGCATACGTGAGGAAGCAAATGCTTATACAATTAATTTTGTTGTCCTACAACCGTCATCAAAGGATTTGGTTGAATTTAAGTGTTGGCACTTGAGGAACCAGGAGCATGAGGAGCTTGAGGAAACTGAGGAACTGTATGTCTTGAAACCTCATAGTGGCTGTGCTGAAGCCATTCCTCACCTTGCTACCAATGTTCGCATGCCCTTGTGGGCTTTGCAAAAAGGATTTTTGCAAAAATAGACCAACTTTGTGGTGACAGAATGTCTAGGGATTAGTTGGTAGAGATACTTAGGACATTGTGAACTAAAAGTGAGTCATCGTCTTCCTCAGAGTCAATGATCCGAGTCGTTGGTCGCCGCTTGTTATTCGTATCGACGTGGCAGCTTCGCCTTCGTGTCGAGTCAGGTCTTCTTCAGTGAGCCAAAAAGTGAGTCATTTTGCCACCATTATGCTAGTATAGTTACATTTATTTCATTTTTTCTTTAACTCCTCGAAGAATTAAATACTAAACGTCAAAAAAGCTTGGATTTGAACGGAGAATCAAACCATCTGGTTATCATAGCTATTAAAGGGCCATATTGATAAAAAAAAATGCATATGTCAAGCTCAAGCATGGAAAATTCAACTAGTAACTGAAGAAGTTTTAAAAAATGAAATGCCGACGACATTTCCCAACATTCATGCTGCTTCATAAGATCGTCATCTACGGTTTCGCTACTAAAGATGTTAGTAAGTACATACGTCGCGATCAATGTCATCCAACTTCGGACGAGGCCCGTAATCTGTGATGGCCAATGTCAAACCGCTTTCTTTGGTATACAGAACGTCATAAACGTTGATAACATCGAGTTTTAAATGAGCTGCAACAAAAAATTTTTTAATACATAAAATTAAAACCGTGCCGTTAACAAATGTTTCAGAAAATCATACCAAGTTTTTCCACCAAACGAATTTCACTAACTGGCACAAGACCACCTGCTAACGCTAGCACCACTAGGTCATCGCGTATCTAAAAACTGCGAGTACAGACAGGGAAATGTTTCCACCTCTTTTCAAAGACGGATATATACCATAAACAATATGGTGCCTCGCAGTGATTTTAAATACAGAGTCTCGTAAAGATCGGTTTTTCCAAGACGATCATCGATAACATCCTCTACATTCTTGAATATACTCGCCTGTAAATGTGAAAATTATCCAAGGATAGAGGACCAATCCCGTTGATGGGTGATAGCCCCACAGGTTAAAAAACGGCTGAGAAACGGGTGAAACGAACAACCCGCATGGTGGGGTGGTAAACGCGTTAGTAACCGGAAAAGGTAATAGCGAGTTCGATCCGCACCACAAACACCTGCAGTCCGGTCCGGAGTTTTGCAAACAGCTTAGCATTATCGTAGTTATCCAAGAACACATCAAAAAAAATAAAAAGTGAATATACCACAGCTTTAACTTCGTCTTCGACTTTGAAATCTTTGCATATCTTTGCTTTTGTTGCTGGACCTTCACTCCAAAACCATCGCATTCGTTTCGCGCACGTACTTGGACCTAATCTAAATAACATTCGCAAATTCTTGTCTACAAGAACACTTAGAATCACTAATGAAAAGGTTAATGCAACAGACTTCTATAACGTTCCCTAGAATACTCACTTCCTTGACCATCCCACCACTCCTTGTTCGGCTTCAATAAGGTGTAAATGTCCATCATTCATCGCCACAGCAAGTACAGCACCATCAGGTGACCAAGTTACCGATTCCACACAGGCAGGTTTCGAGCACTGCGTCTCCGGAAACGCTGTCAGCTCAGATACATTCAACTACAAGTATCCTTATGCTAAAACTTGTTATTGGCTAGTCTTTCAATGTAGAACAATTACGCTCAAGAACACTCGTAGTATAACGAAATCCATGTCCACTAGCCGAAAAGCATACAAATAAACAAAAAACAGCAGATTACAAGCAACCCCAGATTCTATTTCACACATAAAAATGACCAAAGTATTCGAATGGAAAAACTAGACGAATAGATGAATTTACAACTTAGATACTTGAATGGCCCGTCCTCACTGGCTGTGCGACTCCCAGCATATTCTCCATTTTCCGGAGATTTCCTGATTAAGCCATTGTGGTTCCCTTGAATCCCGAGGTCAGCCTGGCCAAAATCTGCCCAGGGTCGTCACCACGACACGAAGTCGCAGCCCTTGTAGATCAGAGCGAGATTTGCCACCATGCCACTAATTTGATATGAGGACGTTGGTGGATCCTGGTATTGGTTTACTCTTCTCTAGGCTTGCTGATGGAAAAACCGAACTCCTTCTCAGCTTGGGAAATACCTGCTACGGGGTCGAATCCCCTCGCTATACATCGCAGCCCCACACCCAGGAACCTTCCCACCCACCATGAGGCGGTAAACCGTTAGCAGGAATGGAATTATTATATGGCGAAAGCGAAGTAAAGAATACATGACCACTGACGGTATTTCTGTAATTTATCCTGTTGATCTCGCCAGATGGCGAACATTCCTGATTAACAAGAACATCGCTGTGGTAAATATTTGTAAACGATGTTGCTCAGCTCATTTACACCACGATCTCGTGGGTCTAACGGCACAGTAGGGAAGTACCTGATGGCTTTGGCATGACAACGACTTCTACAACATCGTAATAGGTTGAAGATCAATAGAAATAACGCTACGCTCACACACCTTCCAGCAACGTTTCCACGCATTCCTCTTCACCATCACTTCACCTTTGCGAGAAGCGAGTGCTAAGAGTTCTGAGCAAGGGTTCCACTGGACGAACTGGACCTGAAATTGTTCTGTACAATTGTCGACATTCTTGATACGTCCATGTACTTCAATCAGTGTCCAGAAACCCTACATTATAACTTAAATATTAAGTTCTGAGCAAATAAGCAATTAAATGTTGTATAAACAGCATAATTCGGCGCTTCCATCAGGAAGCCTAGTTAAGATTAAACCAATACCAAGGTCCACCACCGCTTTGGTATCAAAGTCGCATGGCGGCAAATCTCTCTCTGATCCACTAGGGCGGTGAGCCCCTGTGGTGGTGACGACCTAGGGCAGGTTTTGTCTAGGCTCACCTCGGGACTTTGAGGAACCACAGTGGCTAAACCAGCAAAACTCCGAAACAATGGATATTATGCTGGAGCTCGGAGCAGTGAAGGCGGGCGTCCAAGTATCCAAGTACTCTTGCTTCATATATACGATTAAATGCCCGAGAAATTAGAGCTGAGTCCGGGCGATAACCACCAATAACTATCTTGAACTTCATTAAAGTGTAAAAACACCTACATCTACTCTTTCTTCAGCATCCATGCTATGCAGTTACTTAAATATTCCCTGGAACCAAGACCTTGCCTTTCAGGATAGTATGTTATTCACTTATCCATCATCGAATTGCGAAATATCTCAACGTAGGAAAAAAGTAGGGTAGATTTTGCAATAATGCGACACTACCCAAATGATCGAATCCCCCTCCATATTTCCGATCTGGATCTAAACCAAGGCCAATTCCGTGCAAAAAGATAGTAGTCCAGAACATGTTCTAGGATCTCAAACAACCATAAATGGTTACCCTCCACATGAACACCTGCGAATCAGTGTCGTATTCTATTTACAAAAGAACTGGACACTTACAATTCGTCGTGACCTTTCAATTAAAAGAGATAAAAAGGATAAACCTTCTGGCGTTGATCAAGTCCTGAGAGATGCGGCATGCATTCTACTTCATTAAGCACCATTCGGCGGTGACTGCATGCATATCTGGCCTTTACAATAACTCGCAGTGATCTACTGATGTATCGACCTAGTGCTGCTATCCTCCCAGATAAATCTAGTAGCAATTTGCTGACCACGGAGGGATAGAAGGCTTACTGAGCCTGAGACGCAGGAATCGATTCTGTTTTGCACAGCGTTGCCGACCACTGGGCAACATGCGCGGCTTATCAGTTTATTTAGGAAAATGCAGTGATAGTCAGAAACCATTTCACAGATGTACACCCAAAATACTCTTTATTAACCGGAAACACCTCGCTATGTCTATTAAAACCTGCGCCATAACATATGAGAACGCCTTCGAACAAGAAGCTTGACATCTCCACATAAAGAACAACAGTTTCGGCATTTCAGTCCATTCATTACAAAATCCTATCCATCATTTCTTTACCTTGAATGGAGCTCTGTACTGTTTCCTTTGCTGTAGCAGATCAAAAGGAATCACTGGCAAACCCATCTCCTCTAAAAAGACCACTCTTACAGAAAAGTATAGATTTCTTTAGACCACCAGTCTATTCCGCTACGATAACTTAGGCTGAAAGGCAAGCCTCTGAAGAAAAATAAGTGATGGAACCACAATCCTTGCTGCATTTTTTTCTTATGAAATCCGAGATTATTACGCAAATAGAGAAAGATTGACAACAACAAGAGAGACAACGAGCGAAGGCATAACACTGCAATTTAACAAATGATAACGAGTTCCATGGTTTAGAAGAAAAAGACCAGTTAATGGTTAACAAATAAAGTGAAGACATTCGAAACACATATACGAGGTTACCTAGCAATTACTGAAACCCGCACTGTACAGCATAGAGATATCTGTTCTACCTAACCAGAAACCTCAAGATGGATTTCAAAACAACTTGCCAAAAACTCCAGGAAAAAAGACCTCGTTTTTACTCAACGAAGATGAAATAAAGTAGTAAGTACCAGTTCACATATCTATTGAGTACCGCTTCTAGCAACAAATTCACGCTGCATCTCTTGAATCTCATGAAACCGCCCACGTTTCATCACCGACAACATATTTTTCATACGCTGACGTCGATCACGACGTTTCTGCGCTGTGGATTTCACAAATGGTTGCTCCATTCCTATTTCAACTTCCTCGCCACCCTCGTAATCCTAAAAAGTACAATCTAAAAGCAGATCCAACTTTGCTCGAAACAACTGCGGTGCATTCAGCAAAGCGATCTTCATCACCCATTCCATTAGAAACGAGTAACTCAATAATCGCAGCAAAGGCATAGCCAACCTCGCCATCGTCCATTTCCTCATCCTGCACACCTTGTTCAAGCGGACTGTTATTAAATGAAGCATTTCGAGCCTGATTCTGCAAATTGAAGATAAATGTGTAGCAAAAAAAATGGAATAACCGCTATCCTAACCTTCGTCTGGTAGGCCCAATGCTGTTGACCAGGTGATGCATAGCTACCACTTTGGGCAGGAGAACCTTCATAACCTGATCCGTTACCTGATTCTGCTGCCTAAAGTTGAAAGCTTTAGTAAAATAAATAGGAATTCACGACTATGAACTAGACTAACTTGAGAATCATGCAAAACTTATAACTTGAAGAATAAAGCTCTTAAACTTGTACCTAGATATGAAAACATGCCTGATGTGCTCCTTGTAGTTGAGCGAAGAATTGTTGCATAATGCTGCCCATTTGACTCGCACTATCGGAAAAGTTAGCCATTTCATCCTTCTCACGCTTCTTCTTCGACTTCCTAGATTTACGCCGATGCCCCTCCGAGTCGCTGTCAGAGACATCTCTGAATGAACGTATCCATAGAAATGAACAATGAACACCTATTCTCAAAATTCAAAGCAGTTATAAGTTATACTTGTCATTTTCTAATAATTGCCCAATTTCGTTACAAACCTTCTATTTCGACTATCGATGGCAGCTTTATGCAACGCTTGGACATAAGAACCTTTTTCTATTGGATACCCTCTCGCACGTTCAAATGCTGAAATGTCATAAATAGTAATACTTAAATAACTGGACGGCCCGTACTAACTGTTTGTGTGGGCCCTAACATAATTTCCATTTTTTCAGAAATTTGCTGGTTTAGCCATGGGAGTTCATAGGAGCTCCGAGGTCAGCTTAGCCAAAATCTGCCCTTGATCGTCGCCACAACAGGCAGTCGTCGCCCTTGTTGAATCGGAGCGAGATTCGCTACCATGTGACTTTTCTGATATCATGACAGTGGTGGATCCTGATACTAGTTTGCTCTTAGCTGGGTTTCCTGGTGGAAACGCCAGACTCCTTCTCAGCTTGGGAGGCCCTGCTGGGATGATGAACTCCTCTGCTGTACATCGCAACCTAACACTCAGGAACATCTCCCAGTCACGATGATACGGTAAACCGTTGGAGGGTAAATTGCATAAACTGTAATATTTTTTTAAAGAAGTCTACAATGTTGGTCTCACCGAATCTACTGATTTTGAACAGTAAAGCACAAAAAGTCTGTGATATCAGTATTTAACGCTTCAAAAGACTAACTATTAACATTCCTATCTTGGATGAGTAGAAAATTAGTCTTATTCAGGAAAGGAATTCAAAGCAGTAATGGGGCTGGTAACGCTTTATACTAGCCAAGAGAAAAGTCAATCAAGAAGAACAAAAAGTTAAAAGCGAACATCTAGATGAACAAAATAAACATATTATCAGTAAGAATAACTACCGTCGAGTGCTTCATGGGAAGACCAACCAAGGTGCTCAATTAAAAATCGACAAATCAGATATCCACTTCGGTTCACACCATTCGTACAGTGTACACCGATAAGAGCTTCTGAAAAAAAGTGATCGTTCCACGACTTAAAATTTACGGCTAAGTGCTCTATAAAACGTTGCTTAAGAATGACCGGCCTAGAGAATCCGTTGACAGTTGAGAGAACAGTAATGAATCTACAACCGAGCACCCTAGAACACAAACAAGTTCACAACCACCTATATGACCGTCCATGTACAACGTAAAATTGCATAATTTGCCCCAATGGTAGAGACGGTGACTGCATGAGTTCGGGTACAGTTTAACTGATCTACTGTAAAGCGTCCGGATATGAAAACGTTGGTGAAACTGGTAGACCACTCTGTGTCCGTATAAAGGAAGACCTATTCGGCAAACTTAAGTTAAACCAAGTACTCCACTAGGCACGCATAGGACATAAAGACAAAGCGAGGAAGATTTTGAAGTTGAAGTTACAATCCTCGCAGAGGAGTCAAAAACACAGCCGCACAAAATTCTCGAAGCATTCTGAACTCTAATCCGAAAACAAATCGCAAGGAGGAATGCCTCATAATCACGTGTGATATTGGACAATATTTAAGACTGTTATTCTAATGTGGGGGGCACATCACGTTTCCATTTGAACACTGCGCGGCTTGTTTCCACGTGGAATACTCACTGGAAGACTCACAGGAAGCGGTGTGTGTGCGAGAAAGCTACTTTGTTCTCGATTCGATTGAAATCCTTGCTTAGTACTTCCTCCTTTTTGGCTATAGAGGTATTTTGCTGAGAAGATTGCAGTCAACATGACCTTTCTAGGCTCGAAAAAAGGTGAGATCCGCCGAAACGTCTGATTGTTCGCTAATAAAGAATAAACTAACAACCTCGTGTTTAGTCATTAAGTTACAGTGACTTATTGGACCAATGGCGAGGTTATTAGAAAACGGTCTTAAGAATCAAAATTTACAAACAGTTATCGCCCATGTATTACTCTGTGCGGCTGCTATCCATGAACTAACTTAAATAGAGCAAATAAACGGCTCTGAAAAAGGCGAAACCGCTGAAACGTCAGCTATTGTATCCTAATAAATTCTATAATAACCACCTCGCGTCTGCTTATTGAAGAAAAACATCGAATTAAAATTTACATGCTCCCAATAAATGAATGGGTTTAGACATGGCCCTCGTCTTCGAATACGTTGATCCAAAGGCGTAACAGAAACAAACCTTCATCATCTGATTTATCAATGTAATCTTGAATAGCCTTGTTGAATTCCGTAACGCACTCAGTTCTCTCCACAAAACTAAAGAAAAGCAACTTTTCATGCTTCTTGCTACGTTGTAATAACTTCAACTAACCCTCGACCAGGACAGTTTATCTTCTGATACTGAATGAACATTCCCTCGATTTCGTTTCTGTCATAATATCGGTCGGTATCCGTCAGGTCCACAATCATTCCCAGTCGCAGACCACGTTCTGCTAACTATAAAAGTTTTCGTAAGTTACATACAATTACACTAAGACACTGTTTTAAGCACAAAAGAAAACTCATGCTGAAGCACAGGTTTGAAAATACGAACATGGACAATAAATAACTCCTGTAATTAAAAGGATAAAGGATGAAGCTGTCGACGTTGATGTCGAATTCCACCGGAGTATGAAAAAAAAATAGAGTGGCACGATAGTAACGCGAAGACGTTTCCTATGTTAAAGTTAAAAAGTTCTCGACGTTGGTCAATTCCTGATGGATGTGCCATTCATTCGGCTTCATAAAGCATCGTTGGAGGTGACTGAATGCATATCTGACCCATACAATGACTCGCGGTGGCCTACCGATGCATCGATGCAGTACTGTTATCCTCCTAGACTAGTATGGTACCAATTTGCCGACCCTGGTGGGAAAGAAGGCTTGCTTAGCCTTACGCAGGGGGATCGATCCCATGTGTATTGTAAAGCGCCTCCGACTACTGTGCCACACGCGCCATCAGGAGATTAAATAAGTCTTAGTAAGGTTTAAAAGGCATTTTCTTGGTGTCAAGACTGTATGGTATCACAGTTTTTAAAATCGTCACCCATATTGTAAAACCATAAAAGATTAAACGACTGAAAATTCTGTGAACAAACTGCTCTTGAACAGAGATGTCATTAAAGTTAAAAAGCGTAGAAAGTAGGCACGAATCACCAACGTCAGAAGGAATTTGGTGCCCATACCGATAATGAAAAAGCAAATTCAACAGTGAGAAACACACCATCCAGAAAAGCTTCCAAACGGTGAACCTCTGACTTCGACTGACTTTTGTGAGAAGCCGATCGTTCAGAGGTGTCTTGAAGACGATGAACCGAGTACGTGGAATCACCGTTCCAATCGGTGAGTATCTTGTCCATCTAAACAAAAATCGTCATTACGGTGGTAACGACTCCCTTAAGAGACAACAGTGCACAGTCACTTTTCATAGAACGTTCAGTACTATCGACGTCTCGTGGTGGCACTGAGCAGTTCTAACCGCCACAAGTAAACACCATTACTCTACTACGACTTATCATATAAAAAAGAAAACCCAAAAATGAACACATCGACAAGAAACCAGTCAACTCTGGAAATGATCGAAAGTGAACGTGCGATCAGCATTTGCTCATAAAAGCGGTCTCTATGATGAAATGCAGCCGTGTCAATACGGGATGAAATTTGTAAAATAAGTAAAAAAAAAAGTAAATAAGTAAAAATAAAATAAAAATCAAAGTCATGTCGGAAGTGAAAAGCTGAAATAACTAAATAATAATAAGAAGAAAAGGCAAAAAAACTTCCTCACTCTTTTGGTACCACTCTGCATACGCGCACCATAATTTCGTGCGGTTCGAAATTGGCAAGGTGCGTGAGAGGTTTATTGCAAAACACGAATTGATGAATTCTCTGCTGGACTTTTCACACGAATGAATCGAATCGAATGCGTATGAGAGTGGCGATGAGCGACTGCCGTCGAAGATTCCGGAACAATCCGGAAGCTCAACAATCCAGAAGCGCCAGTGAACGTCCCCACACACGCAGTCCACGGGACACGACAAGAGCCGCGACGAGCCGCCCGACCTGCCCAGGCCGACTCCGCCCCAGCGCCCGTATCGATCGTCTGTTGTCGGCCTGGACAACTAGCCCACACGAAGTGTTACAGTGGAACACTTGTCAGTTGCACTTGTTGTTCGAATAACTAGAGATTTCCAGCGAGGTTTTTGCCAAGAAATTTGGAAATTTGGTTAGCTCTAGATGACGGCTAGCACAATAGTAATGCTGCCATGCATTAAGAACAAGGCACTGTTTCGATCTCGCACTGATTCCTTCAAACCCTCCATCCCTCGGAGATGACGAAATCGGTGCCAAACTAGCCTGAGGTGGGCTCATTCTCTCCCATCCACATGGAAACGTCTTAGCATGGCTGTTCCAGGATTAGAGTACAGGATCAACTCGACCAGATTTTCAATGACCTTTATGAGAAGGTAAGTAACAAACGAACCTTCACAGAAATATGAAGAACTCTGTGGATGACGAGTACGACAGAACAAACAGAATGAAAGAAATGCTGAACGAAGCGCACAATGTTTGAAATCAAGTCGTGTAGGCAAGTAAATGAAATAAACAAATAGCTAGACAAGTATCCAATGAGTGAGGGAAAGAAAGAGCAGAGATTCCTCAGGAATCATGCAAGGATCACTACAGTCACAGGATTCGTTACCGTCCTGGAAGAAGCTCAACAGCGATATGGGAAACCTCCATTCGATCCACAAAAAAGTGGACGACTGCTCGTGGTGAAGGGAACGGAAGGCCTAGCATCCTTATCTCGATACTCCATGGAAAATCACGCCCAATCACTAATCAAGCCGTGGAAACGGGAGAAGTCATAGGATCTCAAAGGACAACGACGCATACACGATATACCATGTAGACTACTCATGACCTTTCCGTACATATAATGCCATATCAGCCTCTTCAGACCATCAAGTCGCATTTGCGTTCTTTTCGATGAAGCATAAATGCCATATGATCGCCCAAAAAGGATGTTAGTCGAAGGACTAGTAATGGACCTCTTGTCGTTGTAGGCGAAAGGAACCCATCGCCTTAGTTTGGTGGCTCATGCTTCGTCGTGCACTGCCCATATCGTTCACTTTCATGAAATTCTGTCCTATCACTGAGCCTTTATCGATCGGTGGAACCTCTTCTCAGACAAGTAGATGGTGATTTTACGACACCAGATGGATAAGAAACTTGATTGTCTCGAGGTGTCGACAAGTCAACTCAATAAACATTCTCTAATAGAAAATAGTATAATATAGTCTCTATAGTAACCTTACTCTATATGTCTTCTGATAATGATTAAGGCCCAACCAGATATGACCTAAGGAATTAGCTACAACGACTTGGTATTCATATAAAGTTGTGAGCTCAGCGCCACAACACGAGGTGAGATTGAACTAACTACCACAAGTGTATTGCACAGCATCTGTAACCATTGTGCCTCTTCCACCTCTGAAGTACTTTGATCCAAGAAGAGTATTATAATGTAGATAAAATGTTCCCGAAGCAATACATTACTTTTTTCTATGAGAACGGGCGATCAAAGAGCACATCGTTTACTTTCGCAGAAAAAATTTAAGATTCTTCGATATTGTCGATCTTAAAAAAGTCTTTTGGTAGTTATTAACGCTGCAAATTAATATTATCACAATTATCTGAACGTTTTATATCAATTGCTTGCACCCGCCAGAAGTACGTCTCATGGCACCTACGCAGTTCTATGTACTGCCGTCTACTCGCCGTTGATGATCAACAGCGGTAATGGTTTCGCATATTGAAGAGCCTAAATGCATTGCGGAATCCCTTGGCTGTCTGAGGCTTCCTAGGATCGTGATCCAAGAGAAAGCTTCGTTGTTGTTGTTGTTGTTGTCGTCCTTAAGACACCATCGTTAGTAGCTAGAAGGTTGTGGTCCAAACATGTTGCATGGGTGGTTTATACTAGGTTGTTCGCGAATCAGTGACTGTTGTTTAAAGCTAATTTTTTTACTTACTGCCTAGTATCACTATTTATCGCCGCATGGCGTGGCTATGAACGTGTTAGCCTCCGGAAAAGGTTATAGCGTGTTCGATCCCACCACAGACACCTGCGATCCGGCGTTTTGAAAATATCTCAGCTTCTTTGTGATTGTTGTTCAATGTCTATCTCCATTTGATATCTTCAGTAGTATTTTTTTCGAATGATGTAGTATTATATATGAATGAAAGGCACATTTTATTTAGCTTTACAGTGTATGATTTACTTACAATATAAATTGTAATTTGACAAATCTTACAACTTCCAAAAAAAATTAGGATGTCACAGCAGCGATTTCGACAGTTCTATTTTCACGAATTCAAGCTCCGTCGTGGTGCCGGGGAACCGGCCCGGAACATTAGTCATATATGGGCCCAAGAAAGTATTGAGTGAAAAGCTGATTTAGAAAGTTTCACCGTTTCACCGTCGCAGAGTTAACCTTGAAGATGGGCTAGGTGGCGGAGATTCTTCAGCAATTGACGCCGATGGAACTGAAGGCTTTGGTGGAAGCCAGTAAACGCACAACTGGAGAACTTGCAGATGAACTTCGTGAAAATGTTGAAAAAGCTAGACAAATGAATGCCGTAAGAATTCGCAGCCCATAGTAGTATCGCCTCGCGGCCACACTTCATGGAACGGACTCTGCAGAAGTAAACAAGCTCTACTTCGAAACTGCCTGAACCACCATACTCGTCAGACCCCTTGACTATCGAGTTTTACTTTTTCGGCAATCTCGGCAACTACCTGTGCGAGAAATGCTTTAGAAACCAGGCCAGTATCTTAGCATCATTGTGGCTGTATTCCACACCTTACCCCGCCAACAAAAGAAATAATGGGCAGTGAATAAGAGTTATACATTGTGGTTTCGAAAGGAGCTTCAGCTTAACTGGTTCAATTCCGATTTGTGCTCCTTAGATCGTTGCTGTTGACGGGAGATTGCTGAGGATACCGTTACGGTAAAAAAGAAAACGGGCCGAGAGAAAGGAAAAGCAAAGGACTTGGTTGTAACTAGCCGATACTCAGTACCTTAAGTAGGACAGTTATTGCATAATACGCGGCAGTAAGCAAAAATTAGACCCAGTCGTCAATCTACTAAAACTGCTACCGTGTTCTTTTAAGTAGTTCCGATCGAAATGTGACCTCTTAGTCCGTTTTATCTTTGTTTCCTATAGAAATGATATTCGCCTCTTGCTGCTGCTAGACTACGACAACCTTCCATAAACAAACATTTGATGTTGAGATAATAGTGAGGTAGACAAACTGACGAATTTGAAATCCAGAACAAGAGCGAAGATGGACTGGTTCAATGTCTAAGTTTGAA